TATATATATATATATATATATATATATATATATATATATATATATGTACATATATGCAAAAAATACATAGTAAGACACAACCCTACCTCGTTGACAGCCTTCATAATACTATCAAACTGGATGCCAGACATCTTCGCGAGTCCAGGTAACAACGCAGCGGCCACGGCAATACCATGGTTACGGGGCACATGCGTGATAGCACTAACAGTGATATCCAGGCCAATATACAGCAGAATCGGGGTCATGCTCTCCTGCGGCATGTAGTCCAGGATATACCCTATCGCCCCCAGAGAACACAGCGCATACAGAACCACCCCATTGATAATCGAGTACGCGCTTCTCGCACCCAGATTCTTGAAAGTGGGCTGTCCTATATATATCACGGTCGGGACCGGATTGCCCAGGAAGGCGCAGATGGCTGTGATGACCCCGTTCACTATGAACGAGTGCCACGAGCAGAACTTGTCGTTAGCCTGGTCCGACGACACAGCTATACACTGGATAATGTTTACCACGTTGACCAGGGCTAAGGGGATGGCTATAGTTAGCAAGCGGAGGGCGTGCGGATAGGCATCCCACAGAAACTCGTAGTGGAACTCGGGATAGTACCACTCGAAGGGTAGGGAGTCGCCCGTCACCTTCCACTCTGAACTGCCACTCCAACGGAGCACCCAGCCCAGGCCGGTACCCACTAGCACCACTACCATGCCGTACGGAAAGCGGAAGGGGAGTTTGACTTGCCCACAAACCTACAAAGGACAAATGACGGTGTGTGTCAACATAAACTCTGTACACATACATCCCATAAATACGAGTATGCATATGTATACTTATATTTATATATATTTGTGTGTACAATATGCTACACACTCCAATGACTGGCCCAAGTAGTGTGCGTACAGACGTGTCTGTAAATACAAAATAAATACGCCTATCGGCATATGTCAAGCCGTTGCGCGATATGCCAACCCAAACACAAACCCTACCAGAAGGTCTCCACATACCATGAGAAAGAACAACAGGAACGGGATGATGGCTAGAAAAGGCTTCTCAAACGTCTCCAGCGTGTATGGCACCGCCAGAATGCTCAGCCCCACGGTCGCCAGCGCACCCATGTTAGCCGCTTGGGGCAAACACTTGATCATCACAGGGCCTATAAGGAAGCCAAACAGATAGATGATCCCGGTTACCAGGCACAGGATGAGGCAGGTCTTGTACCCCATTTCCGAGTCGCCGGTTTCCTTGGCAACGGGTGAGAGGACTAGGGTATAGAACCCTATAAGGGACGGAGTGGCGATACCGAAGGGCTGAGCAGCGACGTCGTGTCGCTTCTCCTGGCGCATGATCCGCCTGGCCTCCCACGAGTAGTACAGATTGCCCAGCAAACAGGCCAAACCAGCCCCAGGTATAATCTGCAGGACAGGACAGGACAACAATCAGGAGTGCCTGGTTAGCAGCATGCAGGTAGGTGTCAAGAGATATGTGTATGTGTGGGTGTGTAGACTGTGCGTTGTAATAGGTGGTGTATGTGTCCGAAAGCATCTGAGTCGGGGGTACGGAAGCCGGACATCCATATGATAGATCTGACAGCGGTGACCATTGTTTCCGACAAAATATTTTAAATATGTATTGTCAAACCACAACGTTGACAGAAAACGTAGCCATGCTAACTACTTTCACCAACTCATTCTATTACGTATATACTGTTTTTATACTGCACCAGTCTGGCCAAGAAATACGTTTAAATGCAAAGTGCAAAATTGCCGTACAAACAGACAGAAGGCGTACAAATCAGTAACCCAAAGTCGGTTGGGGGTTGGCACCAAATGATTGTGAAAACCTGCACATACCTTTTCTTGTATGTACTGTTTGTGTAGTCCGCTCGCCTGCCCTAGCGATATGAGCAGCGTGAAATCCAAAAGCGTATTCATAAAGAGACAGAAGAAGCCCTCGATGTCACCAGCTACGATAAACGGAGCGTCCCCCGGCCTTCCCATAAGCAAGACATTATCGACAGCCCAGCTGACAGGGTTCTTGGTTAATGACGGTACCATGGTAGCAATTGATGTGGGCCCTGATGTGTGTATATATAGGGTAGTTCTATATATATAAAAAGGGATAGGGTTTAGGGTTTAGGGTTTTGGTGTATTTGAATGATGACGGATCTGTACCGGAGTAAGGTAGCAGATGAAACCCAGATCACCAACGACTTCGAATATACAGCGGCTCTGTAAGACTAGGGTTTATCGGTATCATCTAGATAAAACAGGAGCCTATGCCCTACTAGAGCAGCATTCTGTACAAATAAACTGTATGTACAAATTGTAACAATGTTTGAGTAGAGGATGTATTATTACAATACATACAAATATGTTTATCTAGTTTTACGTGGTCGTATATATATACGCAAGTACCTATAAATATATAAACAAATATAAATATAACGATAAATATAAATATAAATATAAGTAGAAGTCGAAATAGATCTAAATATATATATGTGTGTGTGTGTGTGTGTGTGCGTGTGTGCGTGTGTGTGTGTGTGTAGTATATATA